TTTCCTGGAACTTCTCGTCTCCTCCAAGCATATTTTCCAGCTGCGGAAGTAAGAAGCTTGTCAAACGCATCCAGGCTCAGACAAACCCAGCCAAAAGCACTTCTAGCTTTGGCTTTCAGGCACTCAAGAGTTAGTCAAAGAGCATCAGCGGGAGTGCACTGGTCTGCAAGAGCTCAACAATATGCATGAACCTTACAGAATGAAGAAGCTGAGAAAGAGGATAAAAAAATTAGTCATTTAGAGCCCTAGGCAAAGCAGTAATACTGTCTGTAGCCCAAGGAAAAGAAATTAGTTCCTCCCTTTTTGTTTAGGGAGAGGATTGAGGCCTGATAGTTAAAAAAACCCACACCTTTTGGAGGAAAAAAAACAAAAAAAATAAGCTATGAATTTGTTTTTTTGTGTTTGTAAATACCTGATCAACCAGAGGCATCATCAAGGTTTCTGCTCTTTCCTTACTCAGGAACTTCTGGGTGTCAAACAGGAAGAGCTTGTGCAGACAGTCCACGGTGAACTGCAACAGGAGACAGCTCTTTTCTGTGCTGTTCTCAGAGTCAAAGAAAGCTTCATCTACATACCAATGAAGGAGAAAAAAAATACATCAAAAAACCCCAAAATACAAAACTTCCCCACAAGACAGAAACACTGTTAGTTTGTGAGTCTAGCTGAAGGATGGACTACATAGCAAGTACGTACTCCTCAGTGAGAACAATCCAGTGGACGCAGTATGTTACCCGGCTTTCAGCCAATGCCCTAGCAGGTCTGCCACTGCTGTTCGCAGTCAGCTGGGGCTAGAAGAGAAGAGCCACAGGCTACAGGAAAAGTGCTCGGCCGTGCCCGTGGCTATGGAGAGTCTCTTCAGATCACTACAAATGGGATGGGCAAATAGTTTCCCATACAAAAGAGTAACACCTATTTTTGCCAAGAAAGCAGAGGAGTCTGAATACACCAGGTAGCACAGAAGAACAGAAAAAAAAGAAAACCCAAACAGAAACAAGTCACCCTCTTTCCACACCATTTCATTCTCGTGGAACTCACTGGGACTGACATTGAAAATTTTCATGTGGTCTCAACTTTCCACTGGCAGCCCAGAGCCCATGAATGAAAAATGGCCTTTGGTTCCATCAGAATGAGAAAGATGCCTTATTCATGAGAGAAAGATGAAAAAGAGAAATGAGAAGGATGTGCTGTGAAGTAAATCTCATGCGACTGAACTTCCAGCAATTCTAATTCACCTCTTTCAGCAACTGGCGTTAGCCTGCCACTGCGGCTCTGTAGTTGGTAACTGAAAACTTACCAGTTTTAGAAACGTTGACCTGGTTCAGCGTCTCGGCAAACGGCTTCACTAAATGGCCAGCAAACAGGGTGAAGAGACCCTTGAGCTTGTCTGCAATGCAATCTGCTATTCGGTGGAATGTCAGCAGCCTGTCTTTTAGGGTAGACTCTGTTTTGGACCAGTCAAA